AAATTGGAAAGCTCTAGAAATATCTTTACTAATTTCCTAGATAGGTAATTTTCCTGATACATCTCATATAGATGCTGAGATGTTTTGTAATTTTCCTGATCATCAGCACTGTTTGTCTGTTTTCATTACAAATGTGGTTACGGACACTACAAAACCCTGTAGTGTCCGAAACCTGAATTTGAGGCAGTTTGAAACAGGCAGTGTTAAAACACTAATGCAAATTTGTTCTCAATGGTCAAAAGTTTGTTTAACAAGTTAGGCAATGTACTTTATTTTTCTCCCTCATTTTGATATTGCAACTAATTTGGGAAACCCAGATTGCACCATTTTCATATACAAGATCCTTGGCGTTACATCACCCTGATATTGGCAGATGCTATTGACATCCTGGGATTTATCCAAATATCATGTCATTATTTTTTCATTGTTTAAGTCAACTGGTGTTACATTTCAGAAAATCTTGTTGAAATTCCTTTATTTAAGGTATAGTTTTATCCTATTATAAATAACTTGTAGAGTGTGTAGTGTCCGTAACCAAAAGTTGAAAAATGAAATATCTTTATTTTTTCTCCGTAGAATTTACAGATAAATTTTTGAAACAGTGTATTATTGAATTTAGAGATAAAAAGGTGTTTATTAGTTGGAATTCTTTTAGATCATGTGGTTTTTTTCTTTACTGCAAGTACTAAAATAATGATTGGACACCCACAATGACATATAAAAATAGTTAGAAATTATTATCACTAGCTACATAACCAATATTTTTTGTGAATATTGCTTCAATTGTTTAGTTGCTTGTTGGGAAAAATCTTTAAATGTGTTAAATGCAAGTAAATTTGCATTCAAAATGTTAAACAGTTGGGAAGTAATTTGGTTACGGACACTACAAACAATTTCAAAAAAGAAAACAACTAAAATTACACCAATTTCATATAAAGTATTGTATATTTAACTGTTTGAAGAAAAATAGAATGCTTCACAGAAAAGCAAAAAATAATTGAAGAAATATTAGTGAGGATACACAGTATATGTTTTCCGGGTGTAAAACATTGCCAATAAGTAATTTAAGTACAACTTTGCAGATGAACCCTAAGTTAACTGTTATATATACGATTAAAATAATTGTATCAGCTTGTAACCCTGATAAAAACAATCAGGAGAAACTGCGAGAAATGAAATTTAGGAAAAGGGCTTAAAAACAAAAACTTCATCCACAAATCTGTGAAAAATTAAAGTATTGTGTAGTGTCCGTAACCCTTAAATTTGGTGATCAGATTCAGTTTTCATAAAACTTTAATGAATAATAAAACTTTTCTTTTGTTGTAATAAATACATGTAGCTAGGACTAAAGTGTAGGCATTGCCCTAAATTGTTTTTACTTGAAACAATATCTAATTTGTATGTACTGTGTATTTAATAATCATTTAAATCTGATTTATAATAGTTCAGAAGTTCATAAAATGTTTTTTTTACCACAAACCAAATGCCAATCATAAATATTTGTGTTTTGTAGTGTCCGTTGTCGAAGCTATCAAATAATTTTAGAAAATTTATAAAAATGGAAGTATTTATATCTCACCAAACGCATAAAAAGTGTTATTTATAAATAGTTTTTTCTTTATTTATATTGGTTTTAAAGAGTTCACATGAAATGAAATACTCCCATTTTGAACAAAAATGAACGAAGTAAGAACTGTTTAAATTTTAAAGTACAATGTCACCTTTTTAGTCAAAAATTTATATACAATTGAAAAAATTATTTGTTATTTTAAGTAGAATAATACCCGTTTGTTTTCAAAACATTCTTTAAAAGTGTTTAACTCACTAATCTATATTCACTATTCAGTGTGAAAATAATGGCTTATATTTTTTTCTATTTAAGTGTACATGCACAACATACATGTCTGTACATATAATAGAATGTTAGTGAAATATATTTACACTGTACATTTACCTACTAGTATATTATATACATGTATAGCCCTTAAGGTAAGAATTCGTTTATTTATGAATGTTTAAATTTGCAGTTATACAATTTTGGTTACAACTTCATAAACACATTGAATTTTATTGGCTTGGCGAGGACATTACGTGTAGAATATAATGAGTATTTAAAAACATTTTGTAGCTGAATAAAACGAAGAAGAACTATTTATATCAATATTGGAAGATTGTTCATTTATCAAAATGTAGTTCTGGTATTATAAAATTTTAAGGTTTCTGTTCTTTCGTCGTCCCCAGATACTTCTTCAACTATTTTTCAATTAATAAAATGTTTTTATTAAGTTTGTTTATCCATTTTTCTTAAAAAATTATCCATGAAAACATTATTTTCAAGGAAATGGAAAAGTTGGTTGATGAGGGTTTGGTAAAAACAATTGGACTGTCTAATTTCAACAAAAGCCAAATCGAGCGTCTTCTACAAAATTGCCGGATTAAACCATGCACTAATCAGGTAGATACACATATTTGAAATGCTGTTTAAATAGGGCAAAGAGTACCAATTAATTTCCAATAGAACTCTATACAAACCTTATTCCCTCCCAGTAATTTACTAATTCACTTTCAAACAAATCTCTGATATCATTTGAAAGTTCGCTCTAAGCACTTATTAAAAACACGCAAAAAAATATACCGTGCCCTGTCGTTTATATGTCAAATTTGCAGTTATTTAGAACTTACAGGGATCGACAGTAGATGACACCCTGCCAAAAATATCAAACCCCCCTCCTACAATCTCCACTGGTATATGTATATTTTCTGTAATATTCCTATATTCCATCATTTATTTCAAACATTAACATTTTTACTTTAAAATGAAAATATTTACACACCTGAATTCAGCCAATCAGGTAAAGCCTACCCATTCAGTACTTTGCTTCATCTTGTTCAACCAGGAAATGATGTAAACTTCCGGTGATTTGGTACTCTTTTTCCAATAGTAACTGTTTACACAAGTTCTAGTTCATGTTCAATTTATTCGCCCAAACTAGAGTAATGGTACATGGGGTTCATATGTAAATACGACAGATATATATTATACAAAATGGTCTAAATTTTTTAACAAAACAAAAACATGACAGATGATTGAAAAAGAAAAAAAAGAGAGTGAAAATATCTCAAAGAGGACAAAGGGCATCGTAAATATTAAAGATATACAATGCATTTTTATAGCAATGTTTTCGTTTTGGATGACATTAGTTCCATTTAATAACATTCGGTCTAATAATTGTCTAGCTATATTTTCCTTACATCGGCGAAAGTTTTACGTTCTAAGATATAATAAAATTGATCAGCAGTTTGAGCCTTATAACAACATGTACAAAGTTTACATCTATCAAACTGTGGTATGCCATATGTCATAATCCAATCTCTACTGGTAAATGATGCTGTTTGATATTTTATAGATATTTTTTTTTCTAAATTTAGGAGACATCTTACCTATATTATGTTAAAATAAAAGTATTGTCTAAAGATTCTGTAAATCTCATTTTGAAGAAATTTTTACGTCACTAAAGCACTTTTTGAATAAAGTGATCTTGTAATATACCGTATGATTTTCAGTAGCAGTACATGTATATCTATTCCTAATTCATATTGACACCCTGTTCGTACCATGTATTTGATAAGCCACACGTTACATATTTTCTGTAAGCAGTCTTGCTTATAACACGGGTTTGTTAAGTTTCATTCACACTGTTGTTAAAACATATGGTTGTATAAAATTTACAATTTTATTTGGCAGGCCTAAATAATGCTTTTCCCAATATGAAATCTTCCTACAATATACAGAGGAAAGCGACTTGTTTCACCATACACTAATTTTAAAATATTTGACACATTTTGTAATTTTCACTCGCCACAAACACACATACCCTCACTTTTAATTCATTTAATTTGTAACAAATTTTCCATTTTAAAATTTTTATTCAGATCGAAGTCCATCCTTACCTTTCAAACAAGAAACTGATTGACTTTTGTTCTTCAAAAGGAATTTCGGTCACTGCCTACGCACCGCTTGGAAACCCGAACAGAACGTGGTAAAAATTAATGCATACTTTCTATAAGTACATATAGAAAAAAAAATGATTTGATAATTTGTTTGAAGATACATGTACTGTTATAAGAAATCCATGAACTTTTTCCTTCACAATCTTTCAATTTACTTTACATACATGATAAATGACAAGGGAGTGCATGGGACTATTCATTATTAAAGATGACTTATAGTCGAAACCAAATATTCAAAGCATGTTTTTTGAGAAAGTAATTCGGATATAGAAATCTTAGAGATTAATATTCTTCATTTACATAGAGATTGTAAATAGAAATTCTGATGTACCTTCATTCAAGACCTATTTTAAATCAGGCAAATTAGAAAAAGTTATTTTACTTTGAAATCATTGAAGAATTGCCTTATTTCTAAGTGTGGTATCAAGTTGCATATTTAAAGTTTTTTTTCTTAATTGTCAGGGCGGACAGTAAAGATCCAGTTGTCTTTGATGAACCTGTTTTAAAAGAAATCGCACAGAGGAAGAAAAAGACAATTGCACAAGTAAATTTTCAAACATCTAAATATAAACATGTACCTTTCGTCTCATTGTTATTCAGATGCATTACATTTAAAAAAAAACTTTTGTTTTTTGCAAACCTTATTTTAATATTATCTACAATTTTGCTTTTTTTCGAGGTATGCCTAAGATTTCTTCTACAACGAAACATCATTGTCATCCCCAAAAGTGTGACTCCACAAAGAATCAAAGAGAATATTGATGTATGTTATTAAAGATTTTATAAAATTAAGAGACACTAACATCACTAAGAAACGTGGCGGTTCTTGTAATTGTTTTCATAAATGATTTTTTGTTGTAGGTATTTTTGTTCAAGGATCAAAATGAACATTCTCTTTTTCATAGTTTATCATACATTGCCTTTCGTACTTTATAATAAAATGAACTTTGATTACCCTGGCCATAACTCTGTGGACATTTTTTTCATAGATTCTTGATTTTGAATTAACCGATGACGAAATGAAAGCAATCTTTGCCTTGGATAGGGGAAAGAGATTCTACGCCTTGGGAATGTATGAACGTTACATTATGTACATAATATATACAAAGTATTAGAATAATTTAACAAAATTAGGAATAAGCTAACTTGTTAAGAATAAAAACTTTCTAGTAAATAATCTATTTTTAAAGTGTAAGAAACAACAATTTCATTATTGTCGCTTTGACGTCATCAAACTACCAATTATCAATTTTAGTTTCATTTGTATATTCTTTGTTTTTTTCACAGCGGCATAGGCCATAAGTATTACCCATTCAACGATGAATACTGAAGGATTTGCCATTAGTGTTACAATTAGGAGCATCAAATAGAATAGTGCATGTCATCTTGAAAAAAAAACATATAAAAATAATTATATGGAATGATTGTACTACATTCTGCATGTATGTAATGTATTAATCATTTAACATAGACAAAATACATCAAATAAAAGGTTTTATAGCGGCCACAACCTGTGCTTATGCTTATTACTGTGTTCTTTTGTGCGGGGTATCCAGTACAGAGTCAATGGCATAAAAGGGGGATTTAAACGAATTAAGATAATGTTTGTATATTTATTTAAATAGCTTGTCCAACCAAATCATGCTGATAATAATGAGATGCACTGTAGAAAATGTTATGTTATTTGAACAAAAACCGGTAAAATACACACAATTTTCTTTTTTTCCCCTGAAAAGCAGCATTTATTTGTCCAAAAAGTATTTTTAAGTGCTCTGAAAAGAGAAAATGATTCTCACTTCTCTAACTAAAAATATATTTGTTAAAATCAAGTGACATGAAATTTTAATCAATTTAGTCATTAAATTCCCTTTATCATATCGGTTTTATTTATCTAAACTATATGTACAAACATTAATTATGGGGTTATTCATGGAACGTCCTGGTATGAACATAAAGTGAAACAACTTTCGCGAATTCATTTGCGTCTGTGCGTTGAACAAAAGACTGATTTTAACATTACAGCTGTATATTACATTAAGTATTCCTTTAAAAAATTCCTACGCTACCATATCTTTCTGCTTTGTGAAAGAAATAAAGTAATTAAATATACGTTAAGTCTGGAATTGTCAAATAAATATATAAATTTTCCCCCAAACGTACCTTTTATTTACGTTATTAGATTCTTATCGAAACATGTAATTTGACTTCTAGCTTTTGAAATATTGCCCTGTTATCGGGTATCAAAAGAAACAAGACATTTAATTTTTTATAAAGAAAAGATATGATGCACCGACTAGTTCCCTATACTGGTCACGACATGATACTTATCACAACGAACGTCAACAGAACAAAACATATACGCTTCATCAGATAGATTAATTCTGGTTAGAATAGCGCAGCCAAAGTCATTGTAATTTGACGGTATTTTGAAAAATTAAGCATGCCAATTTACTGAACTTTTCTTCCCCGTCCCATCAAGGTAAACGAGTAAGTAAATTTTTATTGCTTCTTTGTCTAAAAAGTATAAAACAACTTTTTTGTTCTTTTCATCAATTGCTATCATTATAGTTAAAATATTATATTTTAGAAGGAAAAAATAATGGATAGCTATGCAATTCAAAATTTGGCACCAAAAAGAGATCCAAAATTACCCAAAAGTGTAACAAACTCACCACTTTTAATGGCACTGAAGAGGACAACTTCCAGGGCTAACATTACTCCAATTATAGAGGATTTAGATGATTTTGGAACAAATCACCAGACTGAGGATGAAAGCGAGGCTAACAGAACGTGCAATCTTTACCCAAGAACAGCATTTGAATTCAAAATAGGTTCAAATTTTGGTGACTACAACCTTGGGGCTATTGTGCGTGTTCGTAAAGAAAAATTTGTTATCTTAGACTGTGTGTCTGGAAAGCTCAAAATGTTCAAGAGAGTCATGAACAAAAACAATGAGCTGCAATTTCGTTGTATAACAACTTTCAATCTATCAGACAACTCTCATAGTGTCACTGCTGTGAAAGAAAACATGATCGCGTTGACGTATGAAAAGAAGATTCAGTTTTTCAGAGTTAGAAGATCCAAATTAAAATGCTCTTCTACAAGTATACGAGCACCAACTAGATGTTTTGCAATTACTGGTTCATCAGCGAAAGTTTTTTTCATTGCCCAGATCACAGATTCAAAATACGGTTGTATTAAATGTTATGAAAAAATCAAAGGAACAATGAAATCACACTGGAAACTAGACTTCATCGTTGAACGACCATTCAATGAGGATCTTTCGATTAACTCCTCAATGGTTGCTGATGCAGAAGAAGCTACGGTGTATTTTACAGATCCTGTTAGCAAATTCCTTGCGTCGATGTCGTTTCGTGGAGAAATGATCAGGATCGTGCGTTTTGATTGGACACCCAGGGGCCTGGCAGTAGTGGGCGATTTCCTGATTGTGGTGAACGATACAAATCGTTCTCTCTGTTTGATGAACAAAAATGGTCAATTTTTGAAAACCTTGATAAGCAACCTTCACGAAAATCCCTCTCATCTATGCTTTAACCCGCTAAACCAGGAACTGTTTGTGTGTGCTCTTCGTTCTCAGAAAATTCGTGTTTATTCAGTAGAGGCTTCAAATGCTGCAATGGCTATTAGTGAATGTTAACTACTGTACAGTTAACGTACAAACATTTGATCTACAACAAATAATTTAGATTAGAAGTGCATCTACTCAGCTGCAAAAATACACTAAGGTGAAAATCATACCACACATTAAATAAATAAAACATTTAATACAAGTTAATTCCAGATTAAGTTGAAAAAAAACATTTGTATTCAATCATATGTATAGAAAAATGTTACATAATTTGATTGATATTCCTCAAACTATTCAACTCGATAAAGTTGATTGACAAGTGCAATGTGTTACTCTAAAATGACAGAAAAAGGAACATTTAACATTTATCTTCCATTGTATAATTATACAAAACCTATTTTGTTATTGTGATCTCAACTACATATATGTAGTACATGTGTGTTAGTACAGGAATTTTAGAACAAAATTTGTCCTTGTACTGTGTATATACTGACACTCAAATTACATTATTTACAATATGTATTACATATGAAAAGGAGTAATATAATCATGAATCATTTCAAAAATGCATCTACACACATGGGCATTCCGTATATAAACATTGTTTTCTTTGGTGTTGTTTTTATGACATTAATTTATTCATTATGTGTACTCTGGTCAAGAAATGATGCAATAAAGTATTTCAGATAAGATTGTACATACATTGTACTGGAATGTAAAATGGTCGGAGCTGTTGTTTTTTACATAGATTATCTAGCTGCTGGCATAATATTTGTGTTTAATTTGTGTGATATAGGTAATTTTGTCGTGATGTAATAGACTAGTGAGGAATATAAACTCCGAGCAAGAAATCTCTCCAACTTGTGTTAATATGCTACCCTCGTACCGTATTTCTGTGACACGTGGGATATATGTGGAGTTGGCAAGCTTTGAAAGAAAAAGAAATTGGCCATATCAACTGCGATTTAATCAATTAAAATCCTTAATTAAGCATCGACTTAAATTATGTATTGTGTTCTGTGTGCTTTGTCTGCATTCTGCATAATATAAATATTTTTGTTCAATGTGAGTATCTTATAGTAAACGATGCAATGAAATATTTTGCTAACTCGGTTTAAATATTGTATGTCACGTTGTGCAATCAGGTGAATTCTTAATGTAAAATGTTATGTTTTGGAAAATTTATGAATTAGTATTATAATAGTTCTTTCATTTCGCTTCTTGTGCAATTGCAATATTTCTATCAAATTGACAATACATGTACTGTAGGTATTCAGCTGTAGAGGGATACATGGAAACAAACCTTACAGTGTACCCGTCCAGAAACAGTTGACGCATAACTAACAATCAAGGCAAGGTTATTTTTACAAAAGCAAAGCAGAATCCTTCTTATGTATATAAAAATAATAAAGAAATTGACACAAATGATAACGTATCAGTGGTTTGTTATTAGCTGCAATAATGTAGCCCTCTCCCTTTTTTTCCTTTTTTTTCGGGGGGGGGGGGGGCTACAACTCCTTAGGATCTCCGTAATGGTGCAATGCGGCAGCGATTCACTCCCGCACGGGTTTCGGCTCAAATTGTCAGTAAACGGCTATTTTATTAATATGTCTTACCTGGACTTCCAAAGTGTAGTTATCCCAGGCATAAATCGATCAAAAAATATACAGAACAATCCATATTTCAGTATTTTTCGTGTATGTCAACATCACAACTTAAATTTATCCGCCATGTTTACTGACCTTGACAGATTTTATTTTCGGACAGCCAATGAGATTAAGGATCTATAGGGAGCGGATTTCTTTGGAATTACCTTATTTTAAGCCTAAATATCGCTGTTTACGAAAAAATAACATATGGAATGAATTTATTTATCAATGTTTAGTGTTACTATTCATCAGATTTATTTATAAACATAGACATTTGCTTTATTTGAGTTATTCTAAATTTGAAGCGCAAGTCTCGGTACGTCACGCGTGAACTGTCATGGCTGCTGAAAAAAGGCAAACAGATTTATTTTACATGGTTTTCGCGTTTAACGGGCTATGATGTCGACAGTGAATAAAAATTTCGTCTTATTAGAAGTAAGTTGAATGTAAAAACAATTTATTCTGCCTGCAGTCACCCGTATCTAAAAAATATTTTTGCAACATTACGGAGATGCGATGGAATTGTAGCCCTCTCCAGAAAACATGAGATAAAAAAAAATGGAGAGGGCTACATTATTGCAGCTAGTTTGTTATTAATGCGTATGTATATATGTTTTAAAAATAGTAATTATACTAATGCAATCCGAAGATAACGAACAAACTCTTTTACATCCCAGATATTGTTACATTTAAACGCCAAATATGCTTAATTTTTCTAAATTATGTTAACCACAAATTCAAATTTTTAAATCTTAAAAAAAAAACCTCTGTAATTCATGTCTAGAATAAACGACACCGTCTGCCCTCCAAAACTTAAAGGTATCATCCCATTTTTTAAAAATTTTTTTTCATTGTATTTTTATTGAATATATTGTATACATATATGTTTATGTCTCTGATTTATGCTATTGTATCTAATATAAATTATTTTACATAACTGTGACGACTTTATTATATACTGTTCCTCGTGTACCACTGATGTTGGTGTGAGTGAATTAAAAAAATTTTGAACTTCATCAAAAGTAAGCATATCTAAGCTCCCCCCCCCCCACCGGCAAGGAACCATGAATGAGTGAGCATCCCGTTATGTGGAAATAATGACTTACAATTAGTAGATTGTTGGAAGACCTGATCTTCAAAAACTACACAGATTTTGTCAATTTGAAATTCAAGCATCTTTTTTATATCAACTTCAGCGTTCATTTAGAATGTTTAAGCCAATTAATTTGGCTAATTATAGCGATGAGTTATGTATACTTACGAGTTCTATTTCTATTGAAAAGAAAAGCTTCGTCCTTGATGTCAAATAGTCAAAATTATTTTTATCTTGCATTTATCCTGGGGAACGAATGCATGGTGTTGAAAAGTCTACAGTATCGGTGTTATTGATATTGTGATTTCACAGAGATAAATACATGAACGTGGTAAATCTTCAAGTTTAATTTCGTAAGGCCATACTAATTTATTTCCTTGTTCACCGGACATCTGATGTCAGATGTCCTTTTCAGATAAATTGGCGAGCCGATGCTTTAAGATACTGAAATTTAGCCCGGTTCGAGAATTTCAAACCTGCATGTACTTACTAGCTAGATTATGAATACAGCATCTCTGACTTAAGTACATGTAGCTTTATTTTACCGCACGAGTAAGAGAATAACATCCTCTCTCTCTCTCTCTCTCTCTCTCTCTCTCTCTCTCTCTCTCTCTCTCTCTCTCTCTCTCTCTCATGAACAATTACCAAGACCAATTGTACCCTATACCTGTAGAGCTTTAATTATTGGTTCAAAAATATAGTTGGTATGATATCCACATTAACTCAGGGTAATGATTATTTTCTTTTGTTTTCAAAGGAAACGCTGCACGCAAACTCGATACATGATAACAAGGGAAATATCTTGTTTCACAAAAAATATTTGATTGTATTAAAAATCTAATTGTACACAATTAATCAAATGTAATTAATGCTCTAAGTATCGGGGGATTTATATCTCTTTGGACTCTTTACGAACTAATTTGAAGCAGAGCAGGTGCTCTTTTTGTTCTGTGTTTTGGTTAATTGATTTTAGGGGAAAGCTATGCCTTATGTTACATTGTAAGTATGCATTGCATTATGGAAAATTTTCAAACGAATCGGGAAAATATCAAAGTCGAATAATTTTTTTTTAATTTGACCATGCTTGTACATGATTTATAAAAAGTCCTAAACCATATTCCTGGTTTCTTCTTTGTTATGTTATGTTATGAACGTTACGTTGTCTGCTTTGAATGTTATGAGTCAAAAATTTGATAAGAAATCCTTGATCATTTTTATAATTTTTGTAAGGAATAATGTGACAACGTGCGACCCTTAAAAACAAATAAAAGTTTTAACATTTTAATCTATAGTAGACGTTTTTTTTTCCTATTAAAACAGTATACTAAAAGGTATTTTCTTTTGAGCCCATATCAAATTGGAGTATTATGTTTTATTTTTATCCAATGAACATTTAAACTATATTAACTAAACTGTTAAAAAAATCATTTTAATAATTTTAGTAAGGAATAATGTGACAATGTGTAAAAGTTTACTTACAGTATTTAATGTTTTATTGCAGTAGGCGGTAGATCATTAAAGTTTTATGAAAAATTTATATTTTAATTCACAATCTTTGAATAAATATATAGTAATTTTAAATGATCGGGTTAAAATTACTGCACGCTAAAATTTTAATCGCTAAAATAGTCAATTAGTGTTCATCTGCAAAGAGTACTAAAATAAATTACAAAATTATTGGCATACCTTTCAGCAGGCAAAACGATTCCATTCTTGGTCCTGCTTTTCGGCATTCTATTTTTCTTCAAACAGTCTTTATATGAAATTGGTGTAATTTTAGGTTTTCTTTTTTGAAATTGTTTGTGCGAACATTTTGTCCGCATTTAACACGATGATAACTTCAAAAAATAGATCGGATAATAATTTCTAACTATTTTTATATGAGCCAACATTATTATACTAACATTTTCCTACTATTCTTTGTCATTGTTGTGGCCACTGAGGACTATGCTGAACCTATACATTGCTGGTGTCCCGACGAATTCACAGACAACGAGGTCATTTATACACAACAATTATGTTGGGTTTCAAATACTTACCGGATACCATTCTCAGAACCCATTCCGCCTCAGTTTGAACCCAGAAATAATGATGAAGTGACGTATTATCAATGGGTCCCTTTGATTCTCTTGGTAATGGGAGCAAAAATTAACACAATAGAAAAGTGGTGTAATTTTACATTATTACATTTTCTTTCATATCTTCAAAAGTTGTCATTCAATCCTGAAATTTCCTCGTCAAGTTTGGAGATATTGTTCGCAAAGGTCTGGTGTTGGTGTTAAGAAAATGCTGAATATGATAGAAGAGTCAATTAAGGATACGCCGGAGGAAAGAGAAAAGAAAGTTACTATGGTGGCAGAGTATATTGATAGTTGGTGCTCAAACGTGAATCCCTTTCGCGGTGGAATATACTCTGGAATTCGGGAAAAATATGGACGTTATTGCAGTCTAGGTTTTGGACGTCACTATGGGAATTATCTTGTAACATTATGTGTGTTTGTGAAGTTTCTTTACTTTCTAAATGCCGTTTTACAGTTATATTTTCTGAATGAGTTTCTTGGAGGAAAAGATTTTTGGGTCTATGGATACGAAGTGATATATAAAGTTATTATGGAGAATAACTGGGGTTCGTCCACACGGTTTCCAAAAGTTACTCTTTGTGACTTCGATTTGCGACAACTTGAAAACGTCCAACGATGGACTCTGCAATGCGTACTTCCGGTGAACTTGTACAACGAAAAAATCTTCATTTTTCTTTGGTTTTGGATTTCTCTCGTCGCTTTCTGCAGCTTCTGTAACCTTATTTACAGCTTATTTTTGGTCCTCTACCCCAGGCACAGAACGACCTTCACCAAAAAATACCTAAAAATGGAAGATGTTTACGACAAAGGAAATTATTTGTCAAGGAAAATGGTCCGAAAGTTTGCTGACAGCCACTTGCGACAAGATGGCATCTTTCTTTTGAAGATGATAGCTTTTAATACAAATACTGTTTTCGTTTCACAGATTATCAGAATTATTTGGGAAAAATATCGTGAACGCGTTCATGAAGTTGGAAGAACTGTTGAAAATGAATTTTATGAAGGAAAGCGGGCGACTACGAGGTATATTCCAGAACCAAATTATGGTCATCTAACCGATGGTTATGAAAGTGAAGTTTAAATCAATTTCTTAATTTTTAAGATGACAAAATTCAAAAACATAGTGTTGTTTATTTTGAATTTGAAGAAACAGTTCATGGTAATATTTTTATGCAAATCTTACATTCCAGATTCGGTTTATGTAAAAAGAGGTAAAATTCTCTACTAAAACATAACATGCAATGTATATATTTTTTCTATGTATTCTGTCAGATTAAAAATACCCCTATCTTCCTTTAGAAATTAAACCTTAAGAGAATATAGTAATATTTTGTTAAACTTAATTGCTAAGTACATGTATATCCCTTGTTACATGTATTTCGGAACACTTCTATCTTCGTCGACCTTTCTAACGTTTCTCTGTAATTTATATCAATGTAGACATTGTTGCCAACGCATGCTGTATGCTTTATGATGTATAATAATAAACATGTATAAAGCATTTATAGCTGTTTTATAGTTTTTATTTACAGTATATTTATATCCACAAAAATCAGGCAACTGAATAGAGAAGAATCTGAAGATAAAAAATAATCATTAGGAAACTAAACAATCGTTTCATGTAGTAAAAACAGCAATTTTGCTTAAAAAGCATATCCAAAAGTAATTATATCATTAGTTCATTCGAAGTCTTAAGTTAAATCTGTTGTTGACTCTATGCTCACCATGTTTTTGCCTGGTTCTTGTTCAAAATGACACTAATCACAATTTTATACTCCTTGTTTACTATATATATTATTCTAATTAAACATTGAACTAATGCATTAACTTCTTTCAATGTAATTTTCTGTATAAAACCCATTGGAATTCTACTTCATTCAAATATCCTTTAAAATACACGAAACTTTGTTGTCCCTGCAGAGTGTATTACATAGTAAGGACTACAAATGTGTATGAATTTTCATTACTCTAAACAATGTACATGTACGAGTATATTGTTTGACTCAGTTTAATTATTTTAATTAAAATACTTCTTAATTATTGTAAAGATATAACATTGTACGTTTAAAATTAATTTGACATGTTTTCCCTTGTAATACTCAGTATGCAACATTATTTTCTTTCACAAATTAGTTTTTTTTCTGTTAGAAGAGAAATGGTAGTCCATAATTGCAAATTCCTACAAAATTAAATACTCTGCGATTTAAAAACTTCTGTGAGCAAATGTAAAGGAAGCCTATATTTATATGTAAAAAAGTGTTAAATTATTAAGATTTTCATTATATTGTAGAAAATTCTAAATTCAAAAATATATTGAGCGTGAGAGATTTCTCAAAACTCGCTTGTTTGCGACAGAAGAAACCAGTTTTAGCTTTAGTGTATTAATAAATAGAATAGAATAGTACATGCAGGGTTACTACATTTTGCTAATGTTCTACAATGAAAAGAACATTTCATTATTATATATACGAAGTACTGAATGAACAGTATATAGTCATTAGATGTACAGTGTATTAGCTATATGAGGTTGGATTGCAAAGAAATGTCACAACTGCGTCTTTATTAATAATCAAAATCGTAACTACGAGGGGTTATCAAAAAGTCCATGGATTGAGGTTATAAATTAGTGCTATGTTGTCTGCGCTTTCAAAATTTCTAGGGAATATAAAGCAACAAAAAATAAAGAAATGTTGAAAATTCCAGCTTGATGCATTCATTATTTTCCAAAAATTATACAATAGAAACGATATTATATGATCACCTGGCACCGTTGCCGTTTAGTTTCACAACGTCCGACAACGTCATTGATTTTCAATGTCCTCGTCATCTACCTCATACACCTATTTTGATGATATTGATAGGAGCAGAGTATCGACTTAACCCAGTCTTGTTTACTCAGTATATAATTTTACAATGTCATAAACAGAGGTTTTCAATCCATATAAAATTGCAAATGGATTTATACATTGGGAGAGATCCTGCTTAATTGTGCCAGCATATTTTGCTTTTTGGAGTTTAAAACAAACATGATCAAAGTCATTTTTCGACGTAATTTTTCACGCATTGACTACAAATCGACATTAACTGTTTACCCTTTTCTCTCTGAATCTCTTCTAGCATTAAAAACAAGTACTCTGGATACATTTTATTTCTCTGCAGCCAGTTTACACATTTCTTAGGTCTATACCAGTTTTTTTCAGGGACAAAACTTTATAGAATGTTGGAAAAGGAAACTACTCCCCATTTTTGACGTCATTTTAAAGGTCTTATTTGTAAATTTTCAAAACTTCCAGAATGAGTAAAAAATTCCATCTTTTGTGGAACAATAGTTCCCCAACACATACCTGAATTTACGGGATTTTTGGAAGTCAAGTGGTCATATCAAAAGAGTTTTCCTCAGTTACACTTAGGTTGAAAAAAACGTCGTGTACGAGGTTGCGCCGCCTTTACATACCATTGCTCACAAAAACACTACCAATTTATTACAAAGTAAAATTTATTGTTTGTGGTTTACATGATTGTATTCTATAGAAAGAAAAGATGATGCTAACGAGGTATTTTAAAATTAATTGATGTACCTAAATCTTTATGTTTAAGTTTAATCTTATGTCGCTGGCCATTGTCCACGAACTTTTTGATACCTCCCTCGTATATTTCTCGGAGAGAATGTGCAATTATACATATACACTGTAAATAGAATTGCAGAAACATTCATATAGCTTTAAAAATTCCCTTTCTTGTTATTATCAGGATTTACATTATTATTCTTAAATTGCGAATGCTTTCAATTTCCTTTTACATTTAAAATAAATATGCAAGAAAAATACTGTAAATATTTATGATTATGTATTCATGACATTTATTTAAAATGGATTTTACTCTAAAAGTTGATGTAACCTTTCATTTATGCAAGGAACTAGTTCGAAAATATTCTTCACTGTTCTTGAATAGTGTAAACATATAAATTGATGTTCAATGAACTATAACTCTAACAATAGCCACCGGCGATAAGACACGTGTCCATAATGATAAGGTGCGACTACGTCACCATAGTACCATATTGCTAATATAAATTTTTCTAGAAATCATTTCTGTGTCCTTTTGCATCAATATACTTTTGTTTAATTTTAAAAAAGGATAAAATCAAAATTTTATTTGATTCAAACGACAAAAAATGTAAAAACACAGATGTGAGGATTATAAGAAAATTAATCCAGTAAGCTTTCGACTGGGAGTTGTGGCGTGCTCCTGTAATCTAGCTACTTGGAGGTCAGGGTTGGTGGACGATTTGAGGGCGGGAGTCCTGCTCTCATGTGACCTATGTCGATCGGGCGTCCGCACTAAGCACGGCATCAATATGGTCACCTCGGGGGAGCCCAGGGTGTCCAGGTTGTCTAAGGAGGGACGTATCGGCCCAGGGTGGAAACACAGCAGGCAGAAGTCCCCATGTTCTGCAGTAGTGGGATCGCGCCCGTGAATAGGCACATGTTGGCAGCCCGTCCAATACAACTGAACCCAACTCTTTTTTTTTAAAAAAGAATAATTTTCTAATTTTTTTTTTCATCATTTCAATAACAGCAGACCAAAATATGGTTTTTTGTAAGTAGTAGTTTTTCAAACATTTTTTAAAATTGATAAAACTCTTTATTGTGAATTCGTTTAATTGTACAACAACAATCCAAAAATACTTTAACATAGAATTCATATGAGAATTTTATTGAATAACTTTAATTACTAAGTATCGACATTTGTATATTCATGTTATATTGTTTTTTAACATGTCAAATAAAATAAGGGTTTAATTGATAATTTATGCAAGGAAAAAGTAGAGACCGCACGGCAGTTCTACAGTAAAATTAGAGTTACACAGAATTTTTAGGGAAAGGGGGCAGGTTCCCACGATACTTCATATGTATGACTACAGTATTGTAAGTAACTGTTAAAAATTTAAGACAGATATCACCAAAATTTTTTTATAGGTTATTACTCTGTTAAAATGATCAAAACTCTTTTAAGAAATTAACATATCGTTCATTACCCGCCAACATGCCTTCTTCCTTTCCGCTAAAAAAAGCATTATCAATTATTTTGAAAAAAAATTCTCGTTCATTCGAAACATAACCCCCCCCCCTTCCAAGTAGTTAATATTTTCGTCTTGCTTTCATACGCAAACTTCCTTATATCTATATGATATTTAACGCTTATTTATCAAAATATCTATTACAATATTAATATATTAAAAATGAAACAAGGAGAGTAAAGTTAGACATATTCATATTTCCTTTTGATGAAAAAGACACGGACAGCTACAATTAACATAAGATAAGGTGTATAGTTGTATACATTATTGTTCCGATATAGTAAAACTTACAATAAAACAATACAATAATAACATTAACTAGAGTTGTAGCTCTTTGATAGCTGAAGTCAGAAAAGCTTTTTTGAAAGAAATAGATTATATATAGATAAATTTAGTAAAAAATATTAAATTTAAAACAGAGCTCGAGGAATTATATTATACCTTGGAGTTTGCTTTTAATATTATTTATCAATGCCTCGATTCGTAAAATGATGAGAAAACTGAAAATACCGAACAGTTATCGAAATAATTATTGGTGGGTTTCGTGAATCACTCTTAAAGCTTATACCCACGAATTTACATCCCCTTGGAAGAATATTTTGTAAACACATTTATTCATCGAATCAACTGGAGTACCTTTTAACGAGTAATCCACAAAATAACGTCCCCACGAAAAAGTTTTTTTTTTCTTTCCCACAAATATTGACTCCCTTAGGAATGAAAATGATAACATACATAGTAAATAATGGACCACTGGAAACTAAAAAGGTGGTATCGCCTGTCTTTGAGGAGTATCCTTCCCCTGTCGACTGCTCACATCCTCCATGATCAATATACATGTATACAGAACATGAATATGAATCTTAAAAATGGATGTTTTTACAATTTGCATGCATTGTACATGTTGCTGTTAGATGTTTCTTCATCAAACATCAAAAAGACATTGCCAATCTTAATTTCAATGAGTTGAGTTTGTTCATGTATTATTTTTTAAATAACCATGGAAGATTATCAGTAAATTTCTTTTGAGACAAGATATGTTAATTTTTCTCATGTTTATATTTGTCAATCGTTCTATAGTTTTAACCATTTTTTTTGTTCCGAGTTTTATAAAAGTCTAACACCTTACAGTAGTGCCATTCAACATGTTTGTCTGTAACTTAGTCAAGATTACGTTTAATATTCTTCAATTTCAGAATAACTTTTTCCCACTTCCTTTAACATATAAAAATGCAAGAATATAGCACCTGTAAATATTTCTGATTATGTATATTCATGACATTTATTTAGAATGGATTTCACTCTGAAGGTTGAAGAACGAATTCGAAAGTCTTCTTCACGTACATGTACTGTTTTTGTATAGCGTAAACGTATGAATTGATGTTTACTGAACTATAACTCTAACAA